GAAATGTATTGCTGATGTGTCTGGGAGTCACATGCCCGTGGTAGAGGAGCCGCTCTGTGCTCAGATCACGCTGCCGGCCCCTAGCGGCATAGAAGGGCGAAAACGCACCCCCCATCCCCCATCGGGGGGCCGACAACTCTACTTCTCATAGGTGCAAAGGATTCAAACACTGATCAATGGAGCAATTCTAACACTGACTGGATGATCGTACGGTATACAAGTTACCCCCTCCCCCCCCCTTCCCCAATCCCCATCGAACATAATAATAAACTTAAAGTCCTCCCCGCGCACACAGCGGTCCCATGCTCGTATCGAAAAATAATACTTTATACATTCAAGGTGTACCGTGCGCACCTCGCCGACCTGAGCCCCCCCGCCCGAGGTACGTTTGGCGCGGTGAATCTTCTGTACGCATTAAAAGTCTTCTTGTCGTAGAGTTTTCGGGGAGTTTCCGCGCTGGCAATGGTTTAGTGTTCGGTGGACGTTCCCCCCCCGGCTTCCGTCAGATGCCGCTCGTCAGGTCGTTGATGACACGCGCTTTCACCAGTTTCCGTAAGAAGTCCTTCTCTTTCTGGATGTTGTGGGTCCAAGACTGCAAAATAAAGAGCGGAACACGTCATGTGACCTGTGCATACCGGACACACAAATATTCAACGTGTACTACTAGGGGGATATACACTGAGCGGCCAGATTATTATATACACTGAGCGGCCAGATTATTATATACACTGAGCGGCCAGATTATTATATACACTGAGCGGCCAGATTATTATATACACTGAGCGGCCAGATTATTATATACACTGAGCGGCCAGATTATTATATACACTGAGCGGCCAGATTATTATATACACTGAGCGGCCAGATTATTATATACACTGAGCGGCCAGATTATTATATACACTGAGCGGCCAGATTATTATATACACTGAGCGGCCAGATTATTATATACACTGAGCGGCCAGATTATTATATACACTGAGCGGCCAGATTATTATATACACTGAGCGGCCAGATTATTATATACACTGAGCGGCCAGATTATTATATACACTGAGCGGCCAGATTATTATATACACTGAGCGGCCAGATTATTATATACACTGAGCGGCCAGATTATTATATACACTGAGCGGCCAGATTATTATATACACTGAGCGGCCAGATTATTATATACACTGAGCGGCCAGATTATTATATACACTGAGCGGCCAGATTATTATATACACTGAGCGGCCAGATTATTATATACACTGAGCGGCCAGATTATTATATACACTGAGCGGCCAGATTATTATATACACTGAGCGGCCAGATTATTATATACACTGAGCGGCCAGATTATTATATACACTGAGCGGCCAGATTATTATATACACTGAGCGGCCAGATTATTATATACACTGAGCGGCCAGATTATTATATACACTGAGCGGCCAGATTATTATATACACTGAGCGGCCAGATTATTATATACACTGAGCGGCCAGATTATTATATACACTGAGCGGCCAGATTATTATATACACTGAGCGGCCAGATTATTATATACACTGAGCGGCCAGATTATTATATACACTGAGCGGCCAGATTATTATATACACTGAGCGGCCAGATTATTATATACACTGAGCGGCCAGATTATTATATACACTGAGCGGCCAGATTATTATATACACTGAGCGGCCAGATTATTATATACACTGAGCGGCCAGATTATTATATACACTGAGCGGCCAGATTATTATATACACTGAGCGGCCAGATTATTATATACACTGAGCGGCCAGATTATTATATACACTGAGCGGCCAGATTATTATATACACTGAGCGGCCAGATTATTATATACACTGAGCGGCCAGATTATTATATACACTGAGCGGCCAGATTATTATATACACTGAGCGGCCAGATTATTATATACACTGAGCGGCCAGATTATTATATACACTGAGCGGCCAGATTATTATATACACTGAGCGGCCAGATTATTATATACACTGAGCGGCCAGATTATTATATACACTGAGCGGCCAGATTATTATATACACTGAGCGGCCAGATTATTATATACACTGAGCGGCCAGATTATTATATACACTGAGCGGCCAGATTATTATATACACTGAGCGGCCAGATTATTATATACACTGAGCGGCCAGATTATTATATACACTGAGCGGCCAGATTATTATATACACTGAGCGGCCAGATTATTATATACACTGAGCGGCCAGATTATTATATACACTGAGCGGCCAGATTATTATATACACTGAGCGGCCAGATTATTATATACACTGAGCGGCCAGATTATTATATACACTGAGCGGCCAGATTATTATATACACTGAGCGGCCAGATTATTATATACACTGAGCGGCCAGATTATTATATACACTGAGCGGCCAGATTATTATATACACTGAGCGGCCAGATTATTATATACACTGAGCGGCCAGATTATTATATACACTGAGCGGCCAGATTATTATATACACTGAGCGGCCAGATTATTATATACACTGAGCGGCCAGATTATTATATACACTGAGCGGCCAGATTATTATATACACTGAGCGGCCAGATTATTATATACACTGAGCGGCCAGATTATTATATACACTGAGCGGCCAGATTATTATATACACTGAGCGGCCAGATTATTATATACACTGAGCGGCCAGATTATTATATACACTGAGCGGCCAGATTATTATATACACTGAGCGGCCAGATTATTATATACACTGAGCGGCCAGATTATTATATACACTGAGCGGCCAGATTATTATATACACTGAGCGGCCAGATTATTATATACACTGAGCGGCCAGATTATTATATACACTGAGCGGCCAGATTATTATATACACTGAGCGGCCAGATTATTATATACACTGAGCGGCCAGATTATTATATACACTGAGCGGCCAGATTATTATATACACTGAGCGGCCAGATTATTATATACACTGAGCGGCCAGATTATTATATACACTGAGCGGCCAGATTATTATATACACTGAGCGGCCAGATTATTATATACACTGAGCGGCCAGATTATTATATACACTGAGCGGCCAGATTATTATATACACTGAGCGGCCAGATTATTATATACACTGAGCGGCCAGATTATTATATACACTGAGTGGCCAGATTATTATGCCCCCGAACCCATCAGTACTTGGTTGGGCCGCCTCAGAAACAAATCACTTCTACTGTCGCGGTAACCAACCCGCTTCCCTATTTATAATGGTCTGGCCTTCTAGCAACTTCAGCACCAAATTATAGCTAATTTGCCTACAAACGTCAGGTGGTCATAATAATCCGGCCACTCAGTGTATATAATAATCCGGCCACTCAGTGTATATAATAATCCGGCCACTCAGTGTATATAATAATCCGGCCACTCGGTGTATAAAAAAATCCGGCCACTCGGTGTATATAATAATCCGGCCACTCAGTGTATATAATAATCCGGCCACTCAGTGTATATACAGAGGCAAATGTGACTTTCACCCAACATTCAATACAAATACACTATATCGCCATTAGTATTGGGACGCCTTTACACGCACATGAACTCTAATGGCCCCCCAGTCTTAGTCCGTAGGGTTCAGTATTGGGTTGGCTCCGCCCTCTAATGGCATCCCAGTCTTAGTCCGTAGGGTTCAGTATTTGGTTGGCTCCGCCCTTTGCCGCTATAACAGCTCCGCCTCTTCTGGGAAGGCGTCCACAAGGTTTAGGAGTGTGTCTATGGGAATGTTGGACCATTTGTGAGGTCAGGTACTGATGTTGGACGAGAAGGCCGGGTGTTTACATCTACTTATCGTCTATTAGACCCCTAATGTCACCTATGGAACCCCCAAGAAGCTGAGGTCGTGCTTCATCAGCTTCTTCTTTGGCCTCAGCAGCCGAAGAAATGAGAACCTGAAACTGGAAGTGATGTAATACACATCGGGTTTCATGATCTCACATGATTGGAGGGGAGGTCATCCACTGGAAGTGTGTTGAACTCCCTCCAATCCGGGGTCACAGGCCTGCCATGCTGGGGGACCAAGGAGTTTGGGATAGCCAGCAGCAGTGGCAGAGGGGCACACACTCCCCAGCACCATGCAAGCGAATGAACCTGATTTAGGAATACTTAAGTGTGAAGATCAGTGATACATATTGTCACAGTTAACACTGCCAGATGC